ATGAAACACATCCAACATAGCAATACACAATCTCTGTCATTAAATTAAGTTATAACAAAAAAAAATACAAATTAATTGTTTTTTTTTTTACAAATCATCTAATATACATATTTATATTAATATGATTTTATATATTTTATAGACATGAATTATATTCAAATCAATACCGAGCAATATTTGTGGAAAATTGTAAAGTCAATTATTTAGAGAAACTGGTTTATAAAGAAGACATGGAAAGTAAAAAATCCAAGAAAAAAATAAACAAACAGAACAAAGCAATAGATGATGAAAAAGTTGATAAATCACCACAAATATCAGAATTAAATAATAGTAATAATAGTAGTACTATGACTAATAATAATAGTACAATAGAAGAGATATATTACCCTGTTGAATGTTTGAATTGTGGAACCAAAGTTGCTGTTATGGATGTAGAAGAAGTTTTTCATTTTTTTAATGCTATACCTTCTTAACTGGATCAAAAATATATTTTAAATTTATCTCAAAAGAGGGATTTAAGATATATATACACTGTATATTTATTTATAAAAATAAACAAGCATTCTGTAGATGTAGGAGGTGGGGTTAAAAAAATTATATATAGATTAATATATATAGTATATAAATTATACATAAATATTTAAAAATTGCCTCAATCATAAATTTTTCTTTTTCAACTTATAAACTTCATGTTTTTCTAACAAATGAACATTTCTAGTATGATTTCTGATTTAAACTATTTTTGTAAGCAAATGAAATCAAGGTTCTTTTGATTATAAACAACAAGATTTACCATTAATACCATCACATATTGTTGATTTCATATTATCTGAATCATATAAACAGTTTGTCTAGAATGATATAATGGATGTTGATAATCTTCAGTTATTAAATCACTTAATTGATTTTGATCAATCTTGAAAAAACCAAATTTTCAAGCACTTCGACCCATCCTGTATCCAACCGATTTTCCAGTTTCTTTAATTTTCATAATAATTAGTCTTTTCAGTGTTATAACATCTATTCTTACCTTAAGTCTCGGAAAATGTGTTTAACTTAACCAGAAATTAAAAGCTTTCATTTCTGAACTTGGTGATTTTACATTTCCTGATCTTGGATATTTTTAAAGAAGTTGCCAGTCAATTGCTTGATAATAATGCAAGAGATTCTTGGTATACTTGTTTATTAAAAACTTTTTCACAAGATCTAATCTTTTCATTAAATCATCTGTTGAAATTTAATGAATCTTACTGGTGGGATTATTTCTTTTAACAAGTTTTCAATTTTTTGCATTCATTCCATTTTTTTCGTCCATTTGTCCAATACCACACTTAATGATGTAATCCCAAATTTCGATTTCAATTATTTTCAGATTAGTGTTGACTTTTCTATAATTGTGTGGCCGGCAGAGTCAATACTTTGGATGTTTTGATGAAAT